CACACACACACACACACACACACACATACACACGCACATACACACGCACGAATACACACAAATACACGTGCGCACAAATACACACAAACATAAGCTTACATACTTTAATAAAAAACCACACATTCACAGACTTGCGTGCGCGCGCGTGCGCACACACACCCACACACAAACAAACACACGCACACATGTGCTTACACACACACACACACAAATAGACACACACACACACACACACACACACACACACAAACACACACACACGCACACACACACTCGTGCGCACACCACCGAACACACACGCGCACACGCACTCAAACACACACACACACACACCCAGACTCTCTCTCTTTCTCTCTCTCTCTCTCTCTCTCTCTCTCTCTCTCACACACACACACACACACACACACACACACACACACACACACACACACAAACATCCACACGTAAACTCTGTATCACATCTTTACCTTTACTTAATATTCTGCAAACAACCGTACAATAGCCGAAGAACTCTTTTTTATAATGGACTCTTAAATTCAAGTACCAAGAGTATTTTTCAAAAGATAAAACAGAAATGAAAAAAACCGCCGAACTACAAAACATGGGATTGTTCTGGGGAAAGACCATTATCTTACACGTCATTTTCAGATGACTTGAACTATTTCTTTAAAATGAACGAAGAAATCAAAAAGCTCATGTGTTATAAGATAAAAAGAGGTCACTCTAAGAGGTTTTTGAGAGCAGCTGTCAAACATTCTAATTGCATAACCAATGAGACTGGCAACGTTTCTATTGTATGGAAATACCTTGCATTCATGAGTTGAAAGTGTTGGCTGTGCCAATCGATATAATGTTTCTCATTTCATGGCATGCTAAAACACAATTGGGTAAGGCGCTAGTTCGCCTACCGACCACCCGAAACAGAAATAGCCTTAGATATTCACCTTCAGACCCCTTTTCACAGTAATAAATATTTTCATTAATATGTCATTATTAGAATTCTTTAAAGGTGAATTTTGACCCTTTTTTTCTTCTCTTGTTTTTTAATAGTCTTTGTGTTGCTATCTGGAGGGAGCACTGATGGGTCCAACTTCTTTATTTTTCCACGTATTGTTTCTGTCTGTCTGTCTGTCTGCCTGTCTGTCTGTGTGTCTGTCTGTCTGTCTGTCTTTCTGTCTGCCAGCTATGCTTTTCCCCTGCGCTAAGTTACCGTTTACGTGTCTGTGTGTTTATCTGTTCTCAAGATATTAAAAACAAGACGTTTTGTTTTTTGGTCTTTTAAAATCATAGACTTCTTTGGAACAAGGTCAGGTGACCCCCTTTTTTCTCTCCCGAAAGTGTGTGACTGATTTCTATTTTCCTTTTTTTTCAAAGTTCAGCACCATACCATCTTTTTATAATCATTTAAACAACGTTCCCCTTTACAAATAAATGAATAAACAAGATTCAATACAAAGCAAACAATCAAAACAAAAAGAAAAAAGGAACAAGCAAACAAACAATCCAGAGACTCTGAAAGTTCTCTCCTATGTTTCTCAGGAAGTGAGCCGGAGCGACGAGGTTCGAGCAGATCTTGGCGTGAAGGCAGTGTGGAAGAAAGGCATCACGGGCAAGGGAATCGTGGTCACCATTCTCGATGACGGTATGGCATGGCTTTAGGGGATAGGGTGGGGGGGGGGGGTTCTTGCTGCTGTTGTAGTTTTCGAAATACAGTCGAACCTGTCCAAGACAACCATCCGTTGTCGACGAGAAAAGTGGTATTTTAGACAGGTCGCCCTGGCCTGTTGGACAGTGTCGTTATAATGAAGGGGGAAAAAAACGCAAGGCGAAAGTGGTGGAGTGGTCTTCGTTCGTTGTACAGGTGGTTGTCTAGGACAGATGGTCGTTAGAGCAGGTTCGACTGAAGTAGATAATGTCGTTGTGGTTATTGTTGGACATCTTTAAGTTATTGTTAGTTGTGTTGTTGTTGTTGTTTGTGTTGTTGTCTGTGATGGTGAGGAGGTATTGTACTGGTTATGTGGTTGATGATGCTGTCGTAAAGTTTCTTGGTGTTCTTGCCGCTACTGTTGCTGCTGATGGTGTGAATACATGTCCTGATCAAGTTTGGAGTGAGCGACTCGTCCGTCAAGGGTGGGCGCCGTGAGCAGTCCTTTCTATCAGAGATGAAACGTTTTTGAGAACAAAAGTGTGTGGGGGTGGGGGTGGGGGTGGGGTAGGGGAGGGGGCAATAGTGCAATACCTGTATATCATATCAAGTCTGTTTTCTATATTTCACTTCCAAACTCAATCAGAAAGAGATATGTACAGTCTTTTAAGACACCTGTGTCGTGGGAATAGATCTGTATGAATAGAAAAGACAGCAAAAGATCGTGTTCGTATGTTAGTGTTTTAGCGTCTATAAATGGCTGATTTCACTGTATGCTTACCAGGAAGTTGAAGTTGTTTTAAAATGCTCGCAGGTCTGCTGGGGTAAAAGTATGGATTGTGAAGCGCATTGAGCTTGCTGTTGAGCGGGGATTTGAGCTATACAAATGTTATCTATTATCTACTATTATAAGCTGGGGAAAAGAGTAGTTAGAGCGGTAGATAAGGAGGAGATCTATATTATAAGGAAAGAAAAAACATTAGCTAATTGGGTATATTGACAAGTGAAGAAAAACGGAGCACAAACGTTACCACCGCCTTTGTCTGCTTCTGATCAAGCTATATAGGAACGAGAAATAATAGGGTAGATAATAAACGGGGTCCTCTGATACTCTAATGTGAATCTGTCTTTTGTTCACATGTTTGTTGAAAGTGGTATGTTCTTGGGATATACACCATAGTAACAAGACCTCTCTTTTCAAATCGAAAAAAAAATTATCAAAGAAGCAGTTATGATGGAGAGTTGGTTTAAGTCGTGTCAGCCTTTTTTACGGTCTTTTTTTCCTTGACAAAAAAGTGTATATAACTAAATTTTAATTACCTATCTCCTGCTCTTTTTCAGGTATTGAGAGGACTCACCCCGACCTGAAATCTAACTACGTAAGTGAATACCTTAACCTGAGCCTCGTGGTTCAGTTATATGTCTTCTTGATTGTGTGCAAGAAAGCGAGACACACACACACACACACACACACACACACACACACACACACACACACACGCACACATACACACACACATACACACACACACA